GTGAAACTTTGTTGTCTTTGTGACTTAGCTAGTAAATCCCTTATAAAACCTCACACCTTAGCCTCTTTCGACCAAATCCGCCTTACCCAAATCCTTCTTATCATTACTTTATCAATAGTAATACCTGTCTGGCTATAGTTAATTGTTATAGTGTTTAAAGTCTATAAATACAATTTCCACTATTAGTCACTTAGTTTTCTTTGGTTTCTTTAGAAGGTAAATCAAGGTTAACACCAGTTCACCAAAATAGTATAAAACTGGTTGCGGTGAATTTTTTCTAGTAATAACTTTTTCAATCTTATAGACACGTAATGAGAAGTACGGATCAGTCGCCCTATGTCTGTGATCACCTTCTAGCTCACCAGGTTTTAATAAATACCTCACTGTAGCACCTTTTTGTAATTTTTGTTCATATTTTCTGATAGGTCTCTTAGCTTTACTAGAAGGTTTTGAATTAACTTCTTTCAATGTCATGGCATGAGCTGGTGTCATACCAATAAGACAGGTTTTACTATTATTCATATGATCTAAAATTTTTTGGAGAGCCTTATTCCATAGCTTTGATTGCTCTCCTTCTGTCAATCGGTCCTCTATAGCATATTGGATCTTATATATTTTCTTCGCTACATTCTTTTTAAGTACTTTAATGAATGTCAAACTTTCGAAACTGTAAGTATCAACAACTTTTATAACAACATTATATTGTTCCATTCCTTGAGAGAATGATCTACAAAAAGTTGCATCACTATCAGTCATCAACAATGTTGACCTAGTAAGGGGGTTGGCAGGATCTTCATATATTTCTTTGATTGCATTCCAAACTTCCAAACTATTTCTTGATGTCAATGAACGTCCAGCTTTAAAACGAGTCGATATATTGATTACTAGTAAACTGCAAACAAATATCTTTATACCATCTTGATTATCACGAATATGAATCAGTATATCGCACTGATGAACTTTGTTGGGAATCTTGATCTTCTGGAAGCTTGCTTCGGCCTTGCATTTTTGTGGGGTAAGATATATTTGATAGTCATACTGATTCTCTAACCACTTTGCAATATCTTTGAGTCGAAAGTGATCATATCCTTCTTCCCGACATGCCTTCTGCAATTTTTTACTATTTGGATGAAATCCAGGTATGTTGTAGTAAATAAAACATAAGACAATTTGTAATTCCTCATTAGGATTAATTATAATAGTAGGTATACTCATTTTCAACGTATTTTACTGTAATAATAAATTGTGTGTTGCGCAATGCATGAAATGCACTTTCTCTGAAAGATAAAGTCTAGGTAAAATTAAGCATAGAAGGTAGGTGTATTTATCTTTACCTCATGAAGGATATGATCAGTGTATATATTATCCATTAATGGAAACTCTTGGAGCAACCATTAAGAAATTACGTATTCAGATCCAGAAAAATGAGGATTATATCGCTTATCTGGAAAAAGAAATTACTACAAGAGACGATGAGATCGATATTCTCCGGACACAGGTAAATGATCTCAAAATAAGACTCCAGAAAGTAGAGGCAGATGCTCAGTCCAATGACAAAAATATATCTGTCCTCGAACTCCAATTGGAAGAAATGGGTGAAGATATTTTGTTGCTTCAACATAGACTTCAAAAAATAAAAGAAGGGATGTTATTAATCATCCCAGACACATCGGCTAGTGTTTTTACATTATTAAATGAAACAAGAAATAATATTAGGATTTTATTTGATTCTGTCAGAGGTGAGAATGATCTGTTAAATAGTGAAATTGATAATCTGCAAACCCAGATCGAATTGAAGCTTACTCAAATTCAAAACAAGTGTCACATATATGAGCATGAAAATAATCAGCTCTGAGAAGGGTTGGCTCAAGAATATGAGGATGAAGTGGGGCATCTCCAAACAACCATAAATGAGCAGAGAGACCGGATAGACGAACTGGGTAATGAAGCTCGAAACTGGTATCAAAGAGCCAATCAGTTACAAAGCCGCTATGATACGGTTCTAGATGAAAGAGATTGATACAGAACAGAATGTTTTCGGCACGAAGAAACTCTTAGGGGTGTCCATGAAAATTTTGAAGATGAGAGTCAAGCTTATTTAGATTTGCAAGATGAGTATACTGAGTTAAAAGAGGAGATGCGTATAGCTGGTTTAATAATTATTACCCTACGAGTTAGATGCTTAATTCTTATGAATAGAGGGTATGCATTATGGCAAAATGCAAATAATAAAGCACGGCGTTATAGACGCAGGTACACTCTTACCAATTCGCATAACCTTTATGGGCGTCTGACTATTCGGGCTCAAAATAGACGTAATGTAGAATTGCTGAGAGAAAAATTTGCTTTCCAGTTATTGATTCAGCGATACAATAGACGATTAATAACTTGCCATAACCATGGCCAGAATTTACAGTTACAACTGACTACAGCTCAGAACGATTTATTTTTGAGTAATACTCAACTTAATATCAAGTGGGGCAAGTGGAAAAATAGAACACGGGATGCTGAGCAATTAATTCTGAATTTACAAGGACAAATTTTACATTTCCAGAATAATCCATTAAATATGACAACTGTTGCAGGTAACTTAACTAGTATTTCACCATTGATTGCGAATTTTAAAAATTATAGTAGACAAATTTCACCAGATGAATGGTATCAAGGTATTAATAAAATATTAATATTACCATCAATTACAGCGGGTGCCTTCGATGATGCACTTAGAACAGAAATCTTGAAAAGCTAGATGGCTGGAAAATATACAGATATACCTGATCAACACGCTGGCAATAATATTGATACTCCAGCTCATTTTATTATCTGAATGCGACACAAATATTAAACAGAAACTGTTGGAACGCAACAAGTCGCTACTCAAAGATTAGCTCAAGAAAAATTTTTACCCTTCGATACTCCAGAAACTTATGAGATCAGAATTTGTCCTCTTTTATTAGGAGTTGCTAATGACAACATCAATATTTTAGAACTTTCCAAAGGATATTTAACAGGTGATCTTTATACTTGGATAAGAAGTGATAATCCTACAGATATTAATGCTTTCTTTTCTTCACTTAAAAATATGTGGCTTGAACGTCAGCCTTCACCTAATTATGGGGGTCCAATCCCTCAAGTTTCAACTGTTAGCGAGCAACCATCAAATACAGTTTCAGCTTTAATTACCTCTGAAGAAATAGATAGAAAAATTCAAACTGCGATTGCTTCATTAGAGAATCAAAAGAGTGAGTCTAACAAAATACGCTCCAATCTAAATTTATACTCGAATAATATGGATTACGATCCTTCCTTTTTTCAGAATCTTAAGAATGTAATGGAAGATATTTCTAATCGCCTCTCTAACCACGAAGTAATTGTCTCCAGCAAGGGGAAAAAGAATAACTCTTCAAGTAGTGACGATATAGATGCGATTACAAAAGGTATGGCAGAATTATCATTAAATCTGGTTAAAACTTCAAAAGTTATCAAGAAATCTCTACGCAGATGTTCTATTTGTAATAAGGTGAGCCACACCTCCCATACTTGTCCTAAAAAGAAAAAAAGTAAACGAAAAACCCGTGTTAACCATATCAATAAAAATGATAGTTCAGACTCAGAGAATGATTCTTCTGGTAGTGATTCTGGGTCAAGCTCAAGTTCTAAAGAATCTGAAGTTGAATCCGATCATAGTTTTGATGTACACCTTTCTAAATCAAAAAAAAAAGTGACCTGTAAGAAAAATTTTGGCAAATCATCTTCATTAAAACCCAAACAATCCAAGGTTAAAAAAGAGGAAATAAAATTTTGGGTTTCCCCATCCAAGTCTTGCAAGGAAAGCCAAAGCAAACAAACAATTTTAGAACAAACCATTCGTAAGATTATTCAAAGTGAACTTAATGAAATCATACCCCCATACCTGTTACAAAGCTTTAAACCTAAATTTAGTTCCATAAGGTCTGCTCACGTAGAAAAGTTACCTCCTATTCAAGATAATATTTATTGCGAGCCCATTCCAGAAATACCTGAATAAAGCTCTCCATAGGCCGAGCCCGGTCGAGCCCAGTCAAGCCCAAAAAACTTGAGCTTGGCTTGAGCCTAAATTTAAAAGTTGGGCTCAGGCCAAGCTGAGCCCATATAATTTGAGCTTGGCTTGGCTCTCGAGCCTTAATATGAGCTCGTGAGCTTTAATATGAATTCACAACTCCTCATGTAAACTTACAAAAAAATATTATTTCAATAATAAT